GCTGCCGTCTCTCTTGGCCGTGAAGACTCCAAATAGCACTTCCTGGCCTTCCCGGATGCTCAGCTCAGTGGCCAACCGCCTGCCCACCGGAGCGGTGTGAGCGGCTCTCAGCACCGGGTAGGGCTGTCCTCCCTCGGCGGCCCCGCGACGCCTGCGTTTAGGCGCGAATCGGCAGTCCAGGACCAGCTCACGGTAGTCTCCCAGCTCGGGCTCAGCAGCGTTGAGCCGTGCCAGGCGCGTGTGCAAGGCTCTCGGGGCGGCTGTCACGCTGGTCCGCTGCACGGTCAGGAAATAGACAAAGGCTCCGGCACGGAAACTGTACACGTACTCGATAGGGTAGGAAGCGAGGTACTGGGGCAGCACCGACAGCGCTGCGAAGCCGGGTGCGAATCCAGAGGCATCGGCCTTGAGTCGCCGGATGGACACTGAGCGTGGGCTGAAGCTCGCTGCCACAGTCTCGTCCAGTGAGGATGCCACGTAGAAGTAGGAGGCATGGCCCTGCTCAACTACAGTCACAACAGTGCCCAGAGGGCTGGCCACGCAGTCAGGACATTCCTCGGGTTGGTTGTGGTGGGCGGAGAAGAGGCAGATTGGCGGTGCCAGGTGCAAAGCTGTCCCTCCCGGCTCAAGCTCGTGCAGGAAGCAGCGGCCATGCAGGCTAGAGCCGCAGCTGACCAGCGCGGGCAGCGCCGGCTCCATTACCAGCACCTGTGCATCTGTGTCTCCCTGTGGGCCGTGGGGGCCCGGGCCACAGGCTGCACATGTCTGGCAGCCAGGGTCCCCAACAGGGCCCGTGGCCAGGCTCTCTACTGGCTGTAAGCCAGGCCCAAGCACGTACAGGCGATTGCGTGTAGCCACGAACACCGCACTCCCGTCCTCGCCGCCCTCGTAGGTCGTTATAGCCTGTACTGGACCTCCGGCCGAGAAGCTGGGCACCTCGTACTCCACGCCAAAATTGCGCAAGGCAGCGAAGGTGGTGCGTGGGCACTGCCAGGACCCTCTGGTCAGGAGCGGCGGCAGCACCAGCACCAGCAGCAGCAGTAACAGCGAGGGCTGGGAGGGCAGCGGGAGAATCTCCATCCAGGCCCAGCGGGGGCCCCGCAGGGACTCCTGCTGGCCGGCGCCTGGCTCGGAGCAGACTCAAGGGGAAGTCGAGGCTGGGACCCGCGTCGAGAGCCAGTCCTGAGAGCCCTCAGGCAGCTGAGCCCTGCCCGGGGCTACCGTGCTGCCCAGAGCCCTCCCCTGCCCTCGGGTCTGAGCACCTGGCACCAGGTGGACTCACACACTCCCCGCCGGGGAACAGAGAGGCCGCCTCACCTGCCACCCCCTCTGCGGCTCCAAGCCGGGGCTTAGAGCAAAGTCGGCCCCAGGGAGCTGGGCGGGGCGGGCGGGGCCAGAGTGTGGGGGCGGAGCTGTGGGCGGGGCCTGTCGAAGGCCTGGGCTAGGCAGCCCCTCAGCCAAGCCGATTTTCCAGGTCCTCGCAGCCCTGTCACCTACACTTCTCGGGCGTGTTTTTCTCAGTGACGTGTGGGTGGTGTGCGTGGAGTGGCCCGGAGAGAGGTAAGGAGGCCTGAGCTGTCCCTTCCCGCCCCCCCAAGACCGACTAGGCTGAAGTGAGGAGGGATCGGGGCCCAGCACCAGTGAGGGTTTGAGGACCACCTGGCTTATTTCTTCCCTTGTCACCAGTAGCAACACACTCAGACGCTTCCTAAACAGGTCTTGAGGGCCCCTGAGAGGCCAAGAATGTGTGGAAGACCAGAGGGGAGACATGGGACCCCCCAGAGGTACTGCTACTATCTGTGGCCAGAAGCCATTATTCTTGCACGTGCCCTGGGATGTCAGTGATGGGATGGTGTCAGAGGAGAGAGTTGCACCCTACCTGCCCAAGGCAGTAGGAGTTATGAGTTGGGGCCTACCCTGCGGGCTGGACATCAGAGTCAGAGGAGATCTGGCTTATGTGGAGGCCCAACCCTAGCTCTGGTACTTCCACCGCTGCCTCTGTAGGCAGAAGTTGCAGCATGGGGATAACAAAACATAATGGTCACCTTCTTTGCTGACTGTGCTCCAGTGCTCCCTGATATCGGGGAAACATGGGCTTTGATAGGGGACCTCTAAACTGCATAGGGTGGCCCTAGGCTGAGGTCGGAGGGATCTGTGACTCTGGGTCCCAGGGCTTTGGCAGGTAAGAGGGGTGGGAAGAGAGGAGCTTTCAGCCCAGCAGGATTCATTCAGCCTGACTTTTGGAGCTGTATCTCCTGTACTCCCCCATCCAGACCATACTCCTTGTCCCTCCTTCCAGGAGCACCTTTTTCCTTTTCTCCTCTTGAAACTTAGATGGCACCTCCTCCAGGAAGCCCTCCTGATCCTGGCAATGCCAGAACCATTTCGTGGGCCCCACAGATCCTGTGCTATACCCACCCCAGCACAGTTGACTCTGGATATCTGACTCCCCCTTTTCCCGATTCCTAGTGCTGGACTCCCTCCCCCCTCGAGGCCGGAGTTCAATAAGCACCTGGTGGAGAGAAGGAACAGCAGGAGTGGGCAGCCACACCCAGTGTTGGGAGGATTCCAAGCCTCAGGCAATGTAAAAGGCACTCCCTTCTCTAACCAGAATTGGCCCGGAAATGAATAAATACCCATAAAAAAATCATGGCACAGTTCCTGTGTTTCACAGTCAACATGCCTAAAGATAGTCATGCACAGCAAAACTGAAATGAAACATTCTCTGCTGGCGCTGAGACAAAGTTTCTTGGACCCCCATCCTGCCTCAGAACATTCGGAGAGACTTCTATGGGTTGGGAGAAGACTTCAGGGCCCTCCTTGATCACCCTAGCCACCTGTTTAAGGTTTGGGGTACAGCAGTCAACAGTTGATCCTTTGCTGCCACCGTGTGGCCAAGATGTTGGCTGCCCCCAGGCCTGCATTCCTTCCTGGGCAACCCTGGTCCTTGACACCAAGCATCCACAGTAGCGCCCCTTCCTCCTTCCTCAACTGCTCACTGTGCAGGAAGGGACAGGCAAACCATGCAGGGGAAGTCTGTGCTAGGTATGAGTGCTCCCCCAAGCTGAACTCATAAGGCCTGGCCCATATTTGGCTTAGGACCTGTCCAACTGCCCTGGCATCTGTGACCTCGAAGGAATGCCCTCTTTTCCCATTTTGGGCTCTCACACCCCTCTGAACACGACTCCCAAGAACTAGTGCTGGCCTTTTTCTCCAACCCAAAGAGATCATCTGAGTGTCAGCAGAGGAATCTTTCTAACCATGGTATGATCATATCATTCTGCAGCTTTAAAACACTCATGGCTCCCCATTGCCAGACTTTTGCCTGGAGTTCAAGAACCATAGGCCTTGAAAAGTCCTCAAACTTCATTGTCCACCAGTAATACCAGGTTCTTTACCAGGTCCTTCACTTTGCAATGCTGGTTCCTCCACTGGAACACCTTCCCTGTGTGCCTGTTATCCCTTCCTTGATCCCCAGATAAACCCCACACTTCAGGGGCCTCCTGTAGTGGGTACACACACTCGTCTGTGACTACCCCTTCCCACACCCACCCAGAATAGGTGCTGAACTGCAGAGGAGCTGAAAGCCCTACGAGGATCACAGCAGCCAACAGGGGTACCTAGGGGTGGAACACTGACCAGAAGAATGCCAACGGCAGTCATGGCATCACCCTAGCCCCAGAGGCAGTGGTTTGGTGCACTGGCCAGGATCAAGGAGAGAAATAGAAGCAGGAACAGGCAGAAAAGAGACCCAGGGCACATGTGCAGGGTGAGCAGCACCACCAAACCTGTGGCTATTCCCCAAGGACTCTGGGGTCAGGGCAGGTGGAGTGCCTCCTAGAATGGTCATATACCCATTTTAATATGACCCAGGATGGGGCGAAGGGCAGAGACTGCGCTGCCATTTCCTGGGACAGTTGAACCATTGTAGTGTACCCTTGGCCCATGCTATCCACACAGTTTTTTTCCCAGCATGGGTTGGTTTTAGCCCAGCTCTCAGAAACTGCATGAGGGGAATTCACTCTACTGTCTGAAGACCATATTCAGTGGACACTTTTCTCCCATAAACATTTTCTAGGTCTTTTGCTCCCCTAACCAATGAGATGGTTAAATTGTGGCAGAACTGGGAAAGCGCTCCCTGCCTCCACCCCCCGCTGCCAGCAGCAAGGTAGAAGCTTTCTGAGCTGTGCCTTGGGCTCTGCCCAGTAGTCCTGGGATACAGTGAACAGGGCTGGGCCTTCACTGCTGAGCCTCCAGGGATGTTCACAGTGACCCCCATGGGCTGGGTCATGCCAGAGTACAGGGTGGCCAAAGAGGACCCAGTGTGCCCACTGGCACCTGCCCTTCCTAGGGCAGGGATCACCCGTGTCCCAGCTGGGTCTTCTCCAGCTCACTCCTGGAGCCATGTACTGGCTGGAAGTACAGATGCTGAGGTGGCTAGCCCTTCAAGCTGGGACAATTTCCCCAGAGGCCTAGAGCTACGGTGAGGCCGAACTCTGAATGTGAGGTCTGTGCTGAACACTGGACCACCCCACCAAGGGCTCCCACCCATCCGTACCACGGTTCAGACCCTCCCTAGTTGACCATCCGTTTCTTACTCAGTTCAGCTATTGCTGAACAACAGCAGCCTATTGAGCAGAGCCCCAGCTCCCAGGGCATAGGACTGGTCCTTTGGGGGCACACCGCTGGGGGCCCCCCCAGGAGTGAGAGGGGAGGCACCAAGGGCTCAACTGAGTGTTGGAGTGGGGCGTGGGTGCAAGGCCAGTGAGGTGCTAGAGAACTCTTCATGTGTGGCAAGACTTCAGCTGAAGGCAAAGAGACCCAGCCCCAGTTTTGATGCGGAAGGCCTGTGGTCTGATGCTGTGCAAGGGAGAAAGGAGAGGGACTCAAATGTGCAGGTGTCTCTGTGCATGGGGGAGCACGGGCAGGGGCTAGGGAGGATTCAGTATCTGTATGGGAGTGAGAGTGGGTGAGTGAAGGGACCAGTGACAAGGCCCAACGAGTGTCTTCCCCAAAGCACTTTAATGCACGCACCAACCCACAGTCCCTGCCTGCTGCCTGGGCAAGAGAGGCCGACCCTGCATGGAGGCTCCCGTGGCTTCCGTGGCCCAGTGTGCCGAAGAGCACTGAACCTGCATGTGTCCCCATCAGTAGGTGAGGGGTGTGAGGATGAAGAGGCGGTCTTCTTCCTTGCGGATCCAGCGCATCAGCTTATGGATGGCACTGACGGCCGATGCCTTGGTTCCCAGGGGGCTGTAGCACATGTAGAGCTCAAAGGCACCTGTCACCTGGAGGAGGGGGCACAGGGTAATCATCGAGGTTAGGTAGCCCTCAGGCCCCCTACCCAGGATCCCTGATGAAGCCCAGCCCAGCCCAGGGCCACCTTACCCAGGCCAGGAGGTTCTCATTGGGGCCTGTGTAGTAGATGGTCTTGAGTGGGCGGGAGGCATTGTGGGCTCGGCTGTGCAGGTACTGGTAGAGGCCCAGCAGCCGCTCCTGTTCCTCTTCACTGGTGTACGGGGCCTCAATCTCAGGGCTGGAGACGGGGGAGTGGGTTCGCAAAGAAATCACTTCCAGTGCCTTCTCTGGAGATCCAGAAACAACTATTCCTAGCCAGGGGGACTCTGCCACGTGTCCTACCCTCCAAATGGTCTCCCAGGATAGGGCATTGTCTACCTATCACAGAAGACTCTCCAGCCCAGGGCTGGGCCCACCCAGACTGGAGCCCTGCTCTTTCCCCTCCCCCAAGTTCATGGCATCTTTAGTGACCTTCCTTTAGAGAAGCCAATCTGAGTTTAGGTGTCCAAGACAGAGGGGCAGGTCTGAACTGGAGGAAAAGTGAGCTAGGAACCCAAAAAGGGGTAATGGGAGAAGAGACGTTGCCACATCCAGCCCCAGCCCCTCCGTTGGAGGAGGAGTTTTGTGCATTCCGGATGGGACTAAAATGATTCCTAAGGCAGACTTGCTCCAGGGCAGGGGATCCAGGAGACCTGGGTTCCAGCTTCCTTCCCTGGGTGTATTGGGCATTTCAGGGCTTTCTGGGTAACAAAGCGGAGAAAGGTATGCGCACTAGGAGCAGAGGGACAGGGAGGCTGGTTCCCTGATGTAAGAGGGAAGCAGACCCAACATATCAGTCCATTCCCAGAGGGGCTGTCAGCTTCAGGAGGGCATCAGGGCTCAGGACCAATTCTCCCCCAGCAACCCCACCCACCTCCCTCAAGCAATGTCCCCAGGCCCTCCCTCACCTGGTGAAGAGTCCTGAGCTCTTTGACTTATAGAGGAAGTGACGCAGGTCGGGGATGCCCACTTGAGCAACGCTGTAGTAGGGCGTGCGCAGGGCCTCCCGCAGCGCCAGGTGGGCTCCCCGCTTCCGCAGGCGCTCCTGAAAGCGGCGGCGGCAGTCAGAGACTGCAAAGAAGTCCTCCCGGTCAGTGGAGACGAGCAACAGGCAGAGATCGGTGTCAGGCTCCAGGTAAGAGATGTGTGCGTGGAAGAAGCCGGCTGCATTAAACTTGGGCAGGCACACGGGCGTCCAGGCCTCGCCCTCGCGGAAGGACGAGGAGGAACTTATGAGGTTGAAGAGCAGGTGCAGGTCGATGGGGTGCAGGAACTGGTCCTTGCGGCGCACTAGCGCCACCAGCTGGTTGCGCGCCAGCAGGATGGAGAAAACGAGGCTGCGGGCGCGCGCCTGCTGCAGGCTGACACTCACCGCGTCGCGCACGGCCGCCGCCAGGGGCAGGCAGCGCGCCGCCCCCATGAGGAAGCTGGGGTCTCGCGCCATGAGCTGCAGCAGGTTGTCGGTGATGCGCTCCGAGCCCGACAGCAGGCGCCGCAGGTCGTAGTTCTGCTTCTGCTGGAAGATGTGGCTCAGTTGCGCGCCCGTAAGAAGGCTCAGGATCTGGTAGTAGATGTAGAGCAGCTCCTGCGCCAGTTCCTGCGCCGACTGCCGCGTGCGCGCCACGGCCACCAGCACCAGTGGGCTCCGGCGCACGAATACTACCTTGTAGCCATCTGAAGGTGGAGGGAGGGGGGGTCAGCTTCTCCGGGAAGCCTTCCTGGATTGGCCTTGCCCAGCTCCCTCGGAGCCCTGGCTTCCTACACAGCTTGTCGCCTTCTATGTCCTCCCCACCCTCCCTAAGAGCGCTGTGCATAGTAGGGACTTAAGAATGATGAAGGTAAAACCGGCAGCCCGAGGACCCCTTTCCCTGAGGACTCCAGGTCTGTCCCTGCCACTTGGTTCACAGACTGGCACCAGCCAAAATGCAGTGAGCACTTTGGAAAAACAGGCTTGTGTTAAATGGCAAGAGCTGGGTGCAGCTTAGGACCTGGGGCTTTTTGGTCACCTCCCCAGACTTCGGGTTCTCTCCAGGGGCAAAGCCCATGTCAGAGCCACCTTTGGTCCTCACAATAGCCCTATCAGGCAGTCAGCGTTGCTATCCGTGTTCAGGTGACAATATTGAAGCCCAGTGAGGCGGAGGGATGGCCCTTGGACCCCCTCACAAAGTACATCCCAGCCCTCTCTAGTCCCTGGGGGTCTAAAACCTGCTATGAATTAACCCTGGCCGGGGGAGCCCTCCCTGCCCCCCTTTCCAGGTGGCTCACCTGCGTGGATAGAACGAATGGCATTCTTGTCTGCCTCCAGGAAGGACACCAGGGCCACCATGACACCCATGGTGCTGGAAAGTGCCTCCTCTGACCCATAGCGGGAGTACACGGGCTTCCCCGCCTCGCTCAGCACAAAGACGTGCTTCTGGTGCAGTCGCCATGCCTCAGCGGCCTCCTCCTCATCCCCCTCGCCTGCGCCCTCCCTGAGGGGTTCTGGGGCTGGCCGCCCAACTGCCCCGGAAGACTCTGGCCAGTCCTCAGAGCTTCCTGGCAGCATCTCCTCCTGCAGGTCTCGGGCCACACCCGTCAGCTGGGTGCTCAGCTCACTGAAGTCCTGGCTGATCTGGCGCATGTCTGCAGGCAGTGGTGGGGGACCCCCAGCACCCTCCTTAGGGCTGTCCCCAGAAGCTGCCCCATCCTCCGACTCCGTCAGGTCCTCGTAGGAACGGGCATGGACGAACATGGCACCCTCCTGCCCGGCACCTGCCGGCCAAAAGCACTGGTGCTTAGAGCGGTAGCCGCTGGCAGACCACCTTCCCAGCGAGCAAGGTGCCCAGTATGGCACTCTAGCCTTACTGCCTGTCCCGCAAGACAAGTGGCTGTTCCCTGCTGCTACTGCCTGCCGTGAGTTACGCCTCCCTGCAACTGAGAGCCCACCAGTCTCCTCCCATCTCACTGGGAATAAGACCCCAACCCCTCCTGGCTGCGGGGGCGGCTGGTACGTGCCTGCTTCTCTCACTCTTACCTCCCAGTCCTTACCCATTCCACTCACACTGACTGTCATCCACCTGCTCTCTGGACACCTTCAACAAGCCCCTGCCCACCTCAGGGCCTCTGCACCTGCTGTTCCCTCTGCCTGGAAGACACTCCCACCTCCTCATATGGCCGGCTCCTTGTCACACTTCAGCTCTCAGCGAACACCCTAGTTACCTCCTCACCCGAATTCCCATTCTCGGCATTCTATCACATCTCCCTCCTTGATTTCTCTTGTGCTACTTGTCAGTTGTTATCCTTCTCCCAAGCTGCACTGGGGCTCCTCCTTAGGGGCAGGAACCTGGCTGTTCACTGCTCTACACCCAGCCCCTTGCCCTGGGCCTCCTGCGTTCAGAGACTCTTTCCCTGTGAGAAGTCTCCCTGACCCTGCTCAGGCCACAGTTCCTAACCCACTCCAGTGCAATGGCCCTACTAGACTGTGGCTCCCCTAAGGCAGGGACCATGTCAGTCCCCCTTTACTGATTTTTTTTTTTTTTGACAGAATAATACAACAGATATATTTTGATTCTCTATGAGGATTTTGGTACTGTACTAGGTATTGGGGGGTACAACCGCTCTGTGCTCAAAGAGCTCACAATCTTGGGGACGAGACACGTGCAATATGTACATAAACATATAAAATTACAAAATAATGAGTATCCTGTATAGAGCATGGTCAGAGCAGGCAGGCCTGACTCGTGAGGAGGTGACATTTAAGCTGAGAGCTGAGGGAGGGAGAAGGAGCCAGGAAGGTACACTGTAGACCCAGGGAACAGGAGGACCTGTGCTGGCAGCCAGACAGCACAGGGTGAGGAGCCCAGCATGATGTGGAGAGGAAGGCCAGACACAGCCGGACTGAGCCTGGTTCCCTACAGTATCCCTAGCACCTGACAAATAGCCCCGGAGTGACTGAACAAACACATGAATGAGTGGGAGTGAAAGCTTGGTTGGGAATCCCAGTGGCCCTGGAGGCTGCTCTGGAGCTTCCTGGAGCTGCACACCCTGCCCATACCTGGCTCCATTCCCTGAGCCAGTCCTGGTGTGGGGCTCTCAGCTCTCTCCATATTCTGCCCATCAGAAGGAGCCAATGTGCCATCAGGGCATCCGCTGCTTCTCTTCCTCTGCATGTCAGCAGCCATCCCTTGGGCTCGCCTGTGGGGCAAACAAAGGTGTCATCGAGGGGAAGGGGGAAGGTGCTGTGGGCAGAGGTCACTGGCATAATTAATAGTGGTAAGTAGAGGAAAGCATCTCTCACTAGGACCCAACTAGCTCAAACCTCTGCGGAACAGGTTCTGAGTAGTCCCCTCTAGAAAATGAAGCTATGTTGTTCTTTTTCTAAATAGAAAAAGGAAGAATTCATTGTACCTACTCATTGTAGAAAACTTGGAAAATACAACAAGGTCTGAAGAAAGAAATGTCATCGTTCTCCCACCTTTCAGGATCTTTCACTGTTCGCATTCTGGTGTATTTCCTCCCAGTTTTTTTAATGTACATAAAAGGTAAATAATTTTTTATTTTTACAAACTGGTAACAGCAGCTATTTATTGAGTGCCAAAGCAGCATGCTGAGAAGGTCACTGGACAGTTATCCACACCTAATCACTCTGCCCTGGGGCAGGTGCTCCTGTCTCAAGCTAGCTATATAGTTCAAAGGACCGAGGCTGGGAGAGTTTAGATGCCTTGCCTGATGTCACAACAGGGAGGAAGCTGGGAGTTGGGAATTGAAACAATTCTGTATCCTGCTATCTTTCAGTGCACATCCTACCACGAACATTTCCCCATTCAAAACTAGATTGACCAATACTGCTTTCTGGATATTTCGGCCTTTGCAAAGAAAGAGCAAACAGGCTTGTCTTCGAGCCGGCTTTTTTTCTGAATACACTGTTGTACTTTCTGAATTTGGCACTGGGGCTTGCCTTACCAATTACAAACAACTAGAGACATGATGGTTCTCAGTGCCCGTCTGATGGCCAGGACAGACTCAGCTTGATCTCCCAGTTCTGCTAGCCTCCAGGCCGGGTGGAGGTGGCTAGGAGTGGATCACAGGGATAACGAAGTTGGATGGCTCACTTCAAGTCACCCCTCGGGTCCCTGAATGGCAAGCTGAAGGGCCTTCACTTCGCAGGCAATATACATTCCCAGGGGAGGGGGTCTATCTGAGGCACACAGCCTTCCATTAAGAGAAATCTGGCTGGGTAAGCTAGAAGGGCAGCAAAGACCCGTATGAGACCCATAGAGAGGTCATGCATCCCCCATCCCACCAGAGCTCTTACCAGGGAACTCCTGTATGTACACAAAGAACTGACTTTCAAGCTCCTTTTTTTGGGGGGGGGGGGTCATCTTTGTTGGAAGCAATGGAATCCTTTTTTCAAATGAGCCTTTGGTAGAAGTTCAATGTGCAAAACAGACAGGGCAGCCCAGTGGCCACTCCTGCACTGAACGCAGAGCACTGCAGAACAAGGGAAGGCTGGGCACCACCGCTGGCCCACAGGATCACCCCACACAGAGTTGGAGCAAAGAAACATCATTTGGGAGAACCACCTTTGGGGATTGTCTAAGCCACTAATCCTGTCTATCAGGACAATCAAGAGTGATGGTTCCCAGCATGAGTCAGAGCCCAGAGGGCCACCCTGGGCCACCTCGTCTGACAAAGGGCCAGAATAACTAAGAGGCTACTTGCCCTCAACAGCAACCTGTTCAGAAAGGTCTGCTCAGGGGCACCTGTGTGGCTCAGTGGGTTAAGGCCTCTGCCTTCAGCTCAGGTCATGATCCCAGGGTCCTGGGATCGAGCCCCGCATTGGGCTCTCTGCTCAGCAGGGAGCCCGCTTCCCCCTCTCTCTCTGCCTGCCTCTCTGCCTACTTGTGATCTCTGTCAAATCAATAAATAAAATTAAAAAATAATAATAAAATAAAAGAAAAGAAATACAGGGGAGCCTAGATGGCTCAGTTGGTTGGGTGGCTGCCTTCAGCTCGGGTCATGCTTCCAGGGTCCTGGGATCGAGCTGCGCATCGGCCTCCCTGCTCGGCGGAGGGCCTGCTCCTCTCTCTCCCTCTGCCTGCTGCTCTGTTTACTTGTGCTCTCTATCTCTCTGTCAAATAAATAAATAAAATATTAAAAAGAAAAGAAAAGAAAAGAAAGGTCTGCTCAGAGGCAGAGATGGAGAGCAATAGGAAAAATCCCAACCAGGCAAAAACAGCCACTGTAACATCGCAGAGCCCAGCTTAGTGTGGTTGCTACAGTAAGGAGGGCACACCTAGGTCTCCCGCAAGAAGACAGAGGCCACGTGAGAAACTTGGAGACCATTCTTTCACAAGCTTTCACAAGAGAGAGTGACCCCAGAGAGAGGCGTCTGTCCGAGTCCAGGCAGAGGGCAAGCTGCTACTGACAGTCCCAGGGTTGTGGCCAGGGCTTCTGGACCTGGTTCCCTGGATGGAAACCTGGATTGCTGTGTGCTTCCTTCCAAGGAGAAGATCCAGAACCATTGCTTTAAACTAGCACATTTCTGTGTCACTTTCCCACTCCACTAGACAATAAGTTCACACCCTCTCTCTTCTCAAACTTCCCTCACCTGCTTCTCCCACGCTCACTCAGCACTATTCGTGATACCGCTGAGGAAACAGAATTCAGCAATAGAGAACGTCCAAGATTCCCACCACCACCTCGCCTCACCTGCCAGATGCTGCCTTCCTCCTCCTCACTGAAGATGAGCTGTCCATGCCCCACCGGAGACAAACTCCCCCACTCCAGTTCCTCTCGCTGTGCAAACACAAGCACTTGGCTTCAGCTGCTGTCCCTCTCTCCCAGCTCATTGGTTTCCCCTTCTCCCCTATCCATCGCCAATATGCTGACGCTCCGTCCACTTTCAAAACACCTTCCCTGGGGTGTGTTCACTCCATTATAATTCACTGAGCTGTACTTATGATTTGTGAACTTTATGTCTGCCTTATTTCAATTAAAAATTAAACTAAATCTCCCTGTAGGTTCCACCCCATTTATTTTTATTTTTATTTTTTTGCTGCCCTTTATAAAACAAACCAACCTCAAAATAGTAAATAGTACTTGGGGTTTAATTAGTCAGGTGGGCTAGGTTACACTGTGTAACCAATGAATGCCAAAATGGCAGAGGCTTTACACATTAAGGTTTATTTATCGCTCACAAAAAAATCTACCATGAGTGTGGTAGTAATTCAGCTCCCTTCCAAGCAGTGATTCAGGAATCCAAGTTACTTGTGTCTCATAGTTCTGCCATTGCAATACATCCCTTTCCCACATCACTGGGCAGTGGAAGACAGGGTTGGAAGGTCATGTATCAACACTTCAAAACCCAGATGAGGGGGCGCCTGGGTGGCTCAGTGGGTTAAAGCCTCTGCCTTAGGCTCAGGTCATGATCTCAGAGTCCTGGGATCTAGCCCCACATCCGGCTCTCTGCTCTGCGGGGAGCCTGCTTCCTCCTCTTTCTCTGCCTGCCTCTCTGCCTACTTGTAATTTCTGTCTGTCAAATAAATAAATAAAATCTTTAAAACAAAACAAAACAAAACCCAGATGAGCCAGAACTAGTCGTGTCGCCAGAGGGACTGGGAAATGTGGATTTCTGGTAATCCACATAATGCCACAGCCTCTCCACTTCTCCCACTCACTCTTGAAGCCATTCCAACTAGACTTGTTCCTCCATTACTGTAGTAACACTGCTCCCATCAAGGTTACCAGTTGACCTCAGGATCATCTCACTTCACTCAGTAGCAGCAATGGATACTCTTGATCAGTTCCTCTCTTCTGAAACTTTTTTTTTTCTTCTTGGCTTCTGGTATACCACTCTCTTTCCTTGGTTCTCCTCCTACCTCATGGACCATTTCTTCTAAGTCCTTTTTGCAGTTCTTCTTACAGTTAGCGGACCCAGATTTCAGTCCTTAGATCCCTTCCCTGTCCTCAATCTACTGGTGATCTTATTCAGTGTCATGGTTTTAAATTCCACTGATACATTAATGATTCCGGTTTTTATTTCCAGCACCAATCTCTCTTCCAACTTCTAGAGGCACACACATTTTTTTTTTTTAAAGATTTCATCCATTTATTTGACAGAGAGAAAGATCACAAGTAGACAGAGAGGCAGGCAGAGAGAGAGGGGGAAGTAGGCTCCCCACTGAGCAGAGAGCCTGATGCGGGGCTCGATCCCAGGACCCTGAAATCATGACCTGAGCCGAAGGCAGAGGCTTAACCCATTGAGCCACCCAGGCACCCCGAGGCACACACATTTAACTGTCTACTTGATGTTTGCCCTTGGATGTCTTACAGTATCTCAAAGTTCTATGTCCAAAACTGAGCTCCTGATCCTTTTTTTTTTTTTTTAAGATTTTTTATTTATTTATTTGACAGAGATCACAAGTAGGCAGAGAGGCAGGCAGAGAGAGAGAGAGGAGGAAGCAGGCTCCCAGCTGAGCAGAGAGCCCGATGTGGGGCTCGATCCCAGGACTCTGGGATCATGACCTGAGCCGAAGGCAGAGGCTTAACCCACTGAGCTACCCAGGTGCCCCCCGATCATCCTCTTAAGATCTTATTCCTTCCAGAGTTTTCTCCATCTCAGTGAAAGATGTCATCCTTTCCATTATTCAGCAAAAGATCTTGGAGTCATCTCTTTTCCTCACACCTCATATACCAAACCATTAGCAAATCCTGTCACCTGCACTTTAGAATACAGGTGCACCCAGCAAAATGTCTCTCTCGTTAATATTTTCCCCATAGAATTCCTTTTAGTTTTTAATACCCAACTGTGGTAGCCAGCCCTCATGATGGCCCCCAGTGATCCTCAACTCCTGCTACTCATGCCTTTGTGTACTCTCCTCCCACACCGAGCAGGACTGATCTATGGAACCAATAGGATAATATGGAAATGATGACATGTGGTTTCTGAGGCTAGGTCATAAAGGATATTATGGCTGCTGCCTTTCTGTCTTGGCTCACTCTCTTCAGGTGAAGTCACTAGCCATGTTGCAAGGACACTTGAGCAGCCCTATAAAGAGAAACTCATGGCAAGAAACTGAAACCTGCAAACAGCCAGGATCAAATGTGCCAGTCACGTGAGT